GCCGGCCGGCCGCCTCTGTAGTGCAGTCACGTGAACTGTGACAGACAGAGTCGGACAGTATTGACCTTCGGGGATCAATCCTCACCCAAGAATATGTTTACTGATTTTAGAGAGAGAGGAAGGGAGAGAGAGAAACATCGATCGGTTGCCTCCCGCACGCGCCCCGACTAGGATCGAAACTACAGCCTTTTGAAAAAAAAAAAAAAAGTAGCAAAAAACCAAAAAAAACCCTCAACAAACTACAACCTTTTGGCACACGGGGTGATGCTCCGACCAACTGGGCCACACAGCCAGGGCAGGATTCATTTTCTCTCAGCACTGAGGTCCCCCCGAGGTGCTGGAGAAACTGTCCCAGTGGCTGGCCGAGCTCTCGTCAGGACTGGGTGCAGCGTGTTTACGCCAACAGTCACCGCTCCTCCCCGCCCCCCCGGGCCTACGGCTTGGCGAGCCACTGCACTGCCAGGGCTTAAGCTTGGGTCACAGGTCCACAAAGAAGACTCTGGACCTGTGGCACCTAAATTTAACTGATCACCTAGAGGAGCTTGTTCACTGTTTCCACCCCTGAACTCTACCCACCACGACAGGGAGCCGAGACTCTGCAGTTCGACAACGTGGTCCCCGGCGTGCAGAAGGCCCGCGTCCCCACGCGGGGCGCTGACCACACTGAGAGCATCTGGTTACCTTGTAATAATCTGGCTCAACGAGGCGGCCGAGGAATCCCACTCAGACGCAGATGAGCACTTGTGAAAGTCCCTGTGAAATAACTTGGAGTTTAGCCTTAATGTGTTTCTAATTTGAGAGCCAATCATCTGGAGAAAAGCCAAATTAACCAGATAATTGCTCAAGCCCTCACCCCCCTTTAATTGGCTCTCGCTGGTACTTGAGTGTCCCCCAAGGTAGGATTCCTCCGCCCCACGGAGAGGCCCCAGGACATTGAACCGTCAGACAGAAATCCCTTGGACACGGAAATCCCTACCTGGGCTCCATCACACAGTCCCCACCAAGTCAGGTCTCGGTCAGAGGACCACCGGGAAGACACACCCTTGCTCTTAGGGACAGTTCATATCTTGTCAAAATCAGGTATGACCCAGGTGAGCTGGACAATGTGACCAAGCACCCTGGTCTGGCTCAGTCCCCTGCCCCCGGGGGGAACGCTGGTGCCCCCCACACACGTTCTTCTCTGGCCCCAGCTGCTGTGAGCCTTGGGCTCACCGCCTCCAGCTGCCCCTCCCCTGGGACTTGACTGGGGGGTTTGACTCGGTTCCATCCACCATCACCCCACCCCGAGGGACACGGCCACCACTAGCTGGGGGCAGCCCAGGGACTGACAGGCACCCGCGTCCCTGCCCCTGCCTGGGGACCGCAGGGCTCCTGTCTCTGCCCAGGATTACATACTTGGCGTAAGCATCCTGTGTGGGGCACTTAGCGGGTTTCAAGCTTGCATTGCAATTCAATCAGCAGTCCCGTCACCCGTGCCACCCTCTACCTAAGTGGACGCAACAAATACTGAACATGAACAGAAATAGTGCATTTGAGAAGTTATTTTCAACCAATAAAACCCCTAACTTCACTTTATTACATTTTTATAGAAGACTCGATTTTCCGCAGGTTTCTAGGACTCCACGCTCCAATCCAACACACCTGCGTGACTGGGCGCGAGGGGTGGGAGGAGGTGTCACCAGGGAGCTGGGCAGCCCCGGGGTGCCCGGGAGTGCGCCGCACACGAGCGCCCCGCCCGCCCCAGGTTAGGACAGGAGGGGGGTCGGGGAGCAGCGGCCTGGAGGGGGAGCCAAGCACCTGCTGTACCAGGAGGCCGCGCCCAGGGCGCTTCTACGTGCTGTGCTCTGGCCTCAAGGTGCCAGTCTCTCCGGGGCCTCCTCCCACCCAGCGAGCCCGTCGCCCAGCCCCTGGTTAATTACTGACCAGTTTCTACATCACATAGAGATGCGTCCATACGAGGCGCACCCCACACAGAACACCCGGCGAGACGGGGGAGGGCCTCCTAAATCTCGGCTCCCTCCCTCGCCCTCTTACCCACGGCTGGGGGGTGCTGCCGACGGCGGGAGGGGTCGCCCCACCACTGGAGGACCCCGACACGGGACCAGCAGCTGGAACCAGCGCTGGGCTCTCTTCCTTGTACCGAAGCATCTTGTTTTCATTTTGTTTCTTTGTTCAACTCAGCTGCGCCATGATTCCAGCACAGGTGACACCCAACCCGTTATTTAACCCCCAAGAGTCACACTGTGACTGATCTACAGGGAACAGTGACTGACATCCAGTCACATTACAGCTCCCCAAGTTCACCAGCACTGATTTATGGGTATTTTCAACAGGCCGATGTCTTCCCCTCATTCATGAGATGGACCCTAGGGATTCGCTGGGCACCTAACCGCCCTTCAGTTACCGGGAGTGGCTTGATGTGATTGTTTTTTGAGGGGAAATGGGATATCTGCAGCCTAAAGACCCACCTATCACGCTCAGCTCCGCGCTGGAGAGGATGACCCCGTGCCTGTTCTCGGCCACGCACTGGTACATGCCCGCGTCCAAGAGGCTCACCGCGGTGATGTTGAGCGTGCCCTGCTCGACGTGGACTCTGTCCTGCGAAAGGAAAGAGGAAGACAGAACGGTGACCTTCTGCCGCGGGACCTGCAGGCCGTCTGGCTACGCGCTACATCAAAGGGCCTTAATGGGAAGAAAACAGCCATCAGACAAGCAATTTTCATAACGTGATCTATTTATCTGTCAGCCGAACGTGTGGCAGGTCAGAGGCTGACAGAACAACCGTACATCAACCGGAAAATGGAATTTAAATCGTAGGGCTCTCTCGCGTGCTCATTGATTTAATAGTGAGAGCATTCAGATTAATATCTGTGCCCAGCAGATAAACTTAACATTTCAGATGCTTTTTTGCTCTAAGGCTTTGCGCTGCCTGGGGGCCGGAGTGGGGCTGGGGGGAAATACAACCTAATGTATTGTTCACAGCATTTAAAACACTTAAATTATGAGCAGGCAGTGCTGCGAAGGTGAGCCAGCCTGATCTTCCTGGAGGAAGCAGAGAAGTGCTGGCTGTGGGTTAAGTTTACTAAAAGCAGAGCAGGGTTAGGAGTTCACCGTCCCGCCCCCTACGGCTGAGGCCCGCGTTCGGGCAGCCCCCCCGGAGGACAGGGCGTGTCTGGAACAACGGACCCCTCCCATCAGTCAGCCTGAGGACCAGGGACTTGAGTCATCAGTTTTCCTAAGTGCCAGAGAGGATCTCCTCCTCCCGGGAGACCGGCCATTTAAGAAGTAAAATGCATGGCCGGGCCGGTGTGGCTCAGCGGTTGAGCATCGCCCGCGAGCACCGAGAGGCTGCTGGTTCGATCCCGGTCAGGGCACATGCCCGGATTGTGGGCTCCGTCCCCAGCAGGCGGCCGATCCATGACTCTCATTGATGTTTCTCTCTCTCTCTCTCTCCCTCTCCCTAAAAAACCAATAAAAACATGTTTTTTCTAAAAAAGGAAGTAAAATGTATTGAGACNGACTCTCATTGATGTTTCTCTCTCTCTCTCTCCCCCTCTCCCTAAAAAACCAATAAAAACATGTTTTTTCTAAAAAAAGAAGTAAAATGTATTGAGATNGCTGGCTGTGGGTTAAGTTTACTAAAAGCAGAGCAGGGTTAGGAGTTCACTGTCCCGCCCCCTANGCTGGCTGTGGGTTAAGTTTACTAAAAGCAGAGCAGGGTTAGGAGTTCACCGTCCCGCCCCCTACGGCTGAGGCCCGCGTTCGGGCAGCCCCCCCGGAGGACAGGGCGTGTCTGGAACAACGGACCCCTCCCATCAGTCAGCCTGAGGACCAGGGACTTGAGTCATCAGTTTTCCTAAGTGCCAGAGAGGATCTCCTCCTCCCGGGAGACCGGCCATTTAAGAAGTAAAATGCATGGCCGGGCCGGTGTGGCTCAGCGGTTGAGCATCGCCCGCGAGCACCGAGAGGCTGCTGGTTCGATCCCGGTCAGGGCACATGCCCGGATTGTGGGCTCCGTCCCCAGCAGGCGGCCGATCCATGACTCTCATTGATGTTTCTCTCTCTCTCTCTCTCCCTCTCCCTAAAAAACCAATAAAAACATGTTTTTTCTAAAAAAGGAAGTAAAATGTATTGAGACGCGCTGTTTCGTGTGTGCCGCAGGGTTGACACGGGGCTGGGCAGACGCGGATCAGGCTTTGATCAAGTCCAGGCCCCGGGTTCCCTCACGTGAAGTAAAGGGCGGAACCCGCAGTCACCTGGGCGCCTGCTCCGGGGACACAGTGTGGCTTTTAGAGCTGAGAGGAGCCTGGGCCCAGGGGCAGCCGGTCCAGCGGCAGGAGGGGTGCAGGCTCTGGGTGTGGGCGGGCACCTCGCTCCCACGGCTGCTATGCCCAGTGGCATCCCTGCCCGTAGGCGGGGCAGGCTCCTCCCCGGGGGGCTACGCACGAAGCCTGGCTCTGACTTGGGGCCTGAGGGAAACATCAGGTTTCAGTGGACATTTGAGTCCAGCAGGAAACGGCAATAAGGAAAACTGAACAGGACACCATGGCCTCATCCTCAGGCCCCTTCCGTCTTCTCCTGGCTCCACCCCGACTCTTCCCCAGGGTGGGCTCCACCTGGGGGGCATTTCTGGGCCTGGTCACCTGGAGGCCTGTCCTGCTCCAGGACACCCCCTGCAGGCCGCCGTGGCCGCTGCACACTCCGTGACCCCTCCGCTCGTCGGCTTCCCTGATCCTCACGGGTGAGGCTGGTTTACAGGTTCCCTTTGTCAGGTTTTTCACTACTAACGGCATCCAGTCCCACAGTGGTTTGGAAATGACTCGTCACTTTCCTGTTTCCATAGCAACAGGGAGACCTTAGACAGGACAGTCAGCGCTGAGACGCGGTCCTCGCCCCCTGCTTACCTGAGCGAGCAGCGGCTCCCCATTTCTCAGCCACCTGTACGTGGGTCTGGGCCTCCCGCTGGCTTTGCACTCCCAGAAGACACTTTCTTCAATGGCCACGTGGATATCGCTTATTTTTTGAATCCAGCTGGGTGGAGCTACAGCCCATTCCGAAAGCAAAGACAAGACGTATGTTCAGCGTCTGTTCAATCTACTTTGATCGCGGGCAATCAAGGCGCAAAAGCAGGTTTCTAATAAAATCCCCTTTCCGGATGTCATTCGAACTACGAGGCCCGGGGGGGAGCTTGGCGAGTGCTTTTGGAAGACACCCCAGCCCGCGTCCACCTCTGAACGCTGCTTTTGCTGCTCACGGGGCCGGTCTTCTAAACACAACCAGCATTGGCCGTCCGGCAAAATTCACGGCCCCTCTGCCTCGAGCAGCTGGCCCTCCCCCTTCCCTGTGTGGGGCGATCCCGCACTGCCCGCCACGTCCACCTGGGCTCACGGCCTCCAGCTGCACACTACACTTCCCAGGCTGCTCTGCCGCTAGAGGCAACCATGCGACCACGGTCAGGTCCTGAGAGCAGCGTCCAGGCCGTTCATCTAAAGATACGCGTCCTGGACCCTCACTGCCCTTCCCGCTGACGGGACAGAGGAGGCAGCTGACAGGGCCCTGGGCTCGGAGACGGGCGCTCTCGAGGTAGGATGCAAATGCAGACCTGCCAGCCTGCGACCCTGAACGACCTTGGGGGGCAAAGCAGCCCCAGACTCACCTGCCTATTTTTGGGAAGATACATAAGAGAGAAATAAACTTATTTAAGCCACTGCATTCTTGTCTCTAATACAATTAGCCTGTCCCCACATAATACAATTCACTCCCACACATCGTATAGGTAATGTCTGTGATTCCTTTCTCCTACAAGACTATCATCACTTTTTATTACCGACCTATTTCATACGCCAGGATGTTGTCCATAAGAATGTGGCCCTAGAATCCCAAGTCTCTGACCAAGTCCTGACTTCTACCAGGACCTTTTTAGCAAAGCGAGTCCTGCCCGCAGTCGCCCCAGGAAGCAGAGCCACCCCGCCCCCCCACCTCCCCGAGGCTGCCG